TACAAGAGGTTGGAGAAAATTAGTGACGAAGACGCCCTAGAAACTCTACCGATCCTGCTACGCGAGGAAGCGCTGACGTGGTGGAACGGAGTAAGGAATTCCGTCAACACATGGCCAGCCGCAGTCCAACTAATCAGGGACGCCTTCGCCCCGAGGGCCCCGAACCACCGCCTGTTCAAGGAGATATTCGACGAACCTCAGGGGGACGAGGTCTCCACCGACGCGTACATCACGCGCCAACGCGAACGGCTGTCGCGGATGTCCCGGCAGCTGGACGAACAGTGGCAGATGGATATCCTCTACGGACTGCTGCGACGTAGACTTAGAGACCGCATCGCCCGTACGGAAGTGGACACCTTCGCAGATCTCCTCCACAAGGCCCGCGCCGTCGAAGAGAGCGAGCGAGAAGGGAAAAACTCGCACGCGAAACCAAATGGTAAGGGCCCCAAAGCAGACGAAAACCGAAGTCGCGGCCCCAGACTCCGCTGTGACGTCTGCAGAGCTTTTGGCCACGACACAACCGCTTGCCGCCGGAGACCACGAGGACCTGCCCCAGCTCCCGGACCGGCAACCCGGACGCCCGCTGAGCCAGTGCGTTGTTACGGTTGCAACGCCCCGGGGGTGTTTAGAAGAAATTGCCCCACCTGTAACACGACCGACGCCAGCCAACCCGCACGCAACATGGCATTCTGTGCGCTGAGGTCCGGCACGATCCAACCACGGTCCCGCCCGGCAATCCACATAAAAATCGCCGGAGAAGAAGGCACCGGCTACCTCGATACGGCCGCGTGCAATAGCGTGGCCAGCGCTACATTGTACCGCCACCTGATAAAAACGGGACACAAAGCAAGGACGGAAAACGTGATCGCCACCCTTGCAGACGGCACGAGCAAGCACCTGCAGGTGCCGGCCGTCACGACCAAGGTAGGCGTACAAGGACGACACGTAGAAACCACCTTCATCGTGTTGTCCGACTCTTGCAACACCCGCACCCTGCTGGGCGCGGACTTCATAGAGGACGCGAGAATCATCCCCGACTTGGCGAGACGACGGTTCTATTTTGGCGGCGACATCACGCGGACCTACCCGTTCGTCGACGTCGACGGAGCCGAGGCGCCCGCCAGAAAAGGAGTTCCCACGACCATAAAAGAAGTTCGAATCACACAATCGGAACCCATGGAAGAGGGAGACATCGAAGAAGGCTACGGGCCCCCGCCACCAGCACCGCCGAAACGCGATACCTCCAAGGGACTGGTAACCCCCCACGGCATATGGACCACGTATCAGGCTCCGTACGCGACGGAACACATGTGGGAAGACGCGGAGACCGCGATGACGACGGGCGAAATGGACGAATACGAAATGGGCCTCTTCCCCGACGGGCCCCGGCGACTGTTCATAACATCTCTGCACCTGCAAGCCAACGAAGGCACCGGGTTCACCGAACCGACCCGCGCGAAGTTTGACGACTTGGTGGATGACTTCGCCGACGCTTTTGAGGCGCACGGCCCGCCTACCCCATACGCCGAGCATCGCATCGACACAGGCGACCACGCCCCGATCGCGGTGCCTCCTTATCAGCTGAACGCCACGAAAAGGCAATTGCTCAAGGAGGAAGTAAAGAAAGATGCCGCATGGCAATGGGACTCCACCCACCAAGAAGCGTTCGAAGAACTGAAGCAGCGATTGGCCGACGCCCCCATCCTGCGACAAGCCAACCCCGAAGAACCGTTTGTCTTGCGCACGGACGCAAGCGCTTACGCCCTAGGAGCGGCTCTACTCCAGGGGGAGGGCCCGGAGGAGCGCCCGATCGAGTACGCAAGCCGCCTGCTCACGAACCACGAGCAGAATTACACCACCACGGAGCGCGAAGCCCTCGCCATTGTCTGGGCCGTGCGAAGATTCCGTGGGTATCTAGAAGAATCCTCAACCGTGGTCATCACCGACCATCAGCCCCTCCGATGGCTGATGACATTAAAGACACCGACCGGACGTCTAGCGAGGTGGGCACTGCAGCTGCAGCCGTACCACCTGACCATCGAATATACGCCCGGTAAGGCCAACGTAGTAGCAGACATGTTGTCACGACCCCACCTACCCGAGGTGGCCATCGACTCCGTAGAAGTGGACCTCCCCACACGTAAAGCCAACGAACTACGAAGCGAGCAGCGCAAGGACGAAGAAATTAGGAAGATTATGGACGACCTGGTCCACGCCCAAGCCGAGATTTCCCAGCAGTGGACCTCTCGCGGCTACCTACTCAACCAAGGGGTTCTTTACCGATACTCTCAAGATGGAGAGAGTGAGGAGGCTCAGCTAGTAGTCCCCAAACACGAACGACCCCGAGTACTGGCCGAGTACCACGACTCACCCACCGCCGGCCACTATGGCGTCGAAAGAACATACTATCGGATCAAGCGAAGATACTATTGGACGGGTATGCGACGATATATTACCGACTACCTGAAGGGATGTATCGACTGCCAACGCTACAAAGCCCCAAATCTGAAGCCCGCTGGCCTACTACAAACCCCAGCAATGGGACACCGCATGGAAGTACTGGCCGTGGACCTATTTGGCCCACTGCCCCCAACCAAAGAACACCACCGATGGGTCCTCATCGTAGAGGACTATGCAACCAGATGGGTAGAACTCTTCACTTTGGCTGAAGCTAGCGCCGAAGCCTGCGCCACCACCTTGGTAACGGAGGTGTTCCTCCGATACGGTATTCCCCGTCGTATCGTGAGCGACAATGGGACCCAATTCATAAGCGCGGTAATGCAGAAAATTACTTTTTGCTTAGGTATCACCCAGAGCTTCACCCCTGTATACCACCCCGAGGCCAACCCCGTAGAGAGAAAAAACCGCGACCTGAAAACGCAGCTCGCCATACAGATTGGCAACCAGCCCCACGAAAATTGGGACGAGAAGATACCCTCCATTCGCTTCGCCATGAACAGCGCATGGTGTAGCGGCACCGGGTACAGCCCAGCGTACCTAATGTTTGGCCGAGACCTCCGCACCGTAGATGACGTCACGCACGACCTCCGCGCAATCACCCTCCGCGAGAACTTCGTACCAGAGGCCACACCGCTGTTACTCACTTTGGACGAAACCTTGAAACGAGCTCGGGAAATACACGAGTCCGAGCAAGACCGGCGAAAACGCGACCAGGACCGTCACCGAAAAACAAGCACCGCTTATGCCCCCGGAGATTTGGTGTTAGTCAAAACACACCGATTGAGTAAGGCCTCCCAGGGGTTCACGTCAAAATTCGCCCCCAAGCAAGACGGACCATACGTGGTCTTACGAAGGCACGGCCCCACGAGCTACGAGATCGCCGCCCACCAACAGCCCGATGTAGTGCTAGGGCTCTATCACGCCTCTGACCTTGTTCCGTACCAACCTCCCACGCAGGAAGCCACCCAGCCCGTGCCACCGGTACAACCCTTGCGACGACGAGGCCGCCCCAGAAAGATCCAGCAGGACCAATAGGCGGGGACGCACCCTATGGTCCTGAGGGGGAGACTGTAGCGCGATCAGTACCCCTAGCGCCCTCTGTCACGCCCACGCACCACCACTACCCTGCCGCAGCACCCCGGTACTCGCTCGCTCCCTTACCAGAGGGCGGTGCGCCCTTTCACTCCCACGCGACGCATTTCTAGCCGCCTTTACATAGGACCCGAGCGGCCAGATTCGGCAAGTTTTTCCATCTGCGAACTTCACAGCTCATTTGCGTATCACCTTGCATCCGAGGGGTCTTGGAGGTCCAAATCGAGTAGTAAGTCGGCTTGAGTATCAGCGGCGTATCCGAGGGGTCCCGCAGGTCCGGCCGTGGAAAAACGCTCCGGGTGTTCGCGAGTGTACGAGTTATCAGGACTGTTCGTCCGCGGAGTGACCATTTTTAAGAACTCGTGTAACCAGTCTATGTCTATGCAGTGTATATACTATGTTTTGTTGAATAAAGTTTTTACGGAATAAACCACGTGTTATAAAAAGTGGCGTACAACGTGGGGCATTTGAAGAAGACTGCGTGTTATAATTTTAAATTTTTCAATTTTTAACTTTTCGATTTTTATTTGTATTTTTCGCGATTTTACGATTTTACCACTTCTTGGTTTTTCAATTTTTCGATACTTCAATTCTTCTTCGATTTTTCACTTTTTGGTGCTTCAGTTTGGGGATTGTTTACTTGTTAATTTTTCGATTTTTAAATTTTAGATTTTTCAATTTTTTGGTCATTCGATTTCTCGATTTTTTAATCTTTCAATATTTCAATTTTTCTATTCTTAAAATTTAAGGTTTTCCAATTTGTGACGTTTCTAAATTTTCGATTTCTCTATTTCTCGATTAATCGATTTTTTGGTCTTTCGACTTTTCGATTTTTTAGTTTTTCATTTCTTCGAGTTTTCAAGTTTTTGATTTTTCAATTTTTGGATTTTTTAAATTTTAAATTTTTCGACTTCGGTTTTTCGATTTTTCAGAGTCCCGATTTCTCAATTTACCAGTGCTTCAGTTTTTGAATTTTTCAATGTATCTTCGATTTTTCAAATTTTCGCTATTTCAGTTTTGGGATTTTTTTAATTTTTCAATTTTTCGATTTTTTGTTTTGATTTCTCGATTTTTCGATTCTTCAATTCTTCGTTTTTTTAATTTTTCGATATTTTAGATTTTGGATTTTTTGACTTTTCGGTTTCTCGATTTTTTACTGTTTCGACTCATTTTTCGATTTCTCGATTTTTCATTTTATCAAATTTTTTTAGTTTTAAATTTCTCAATTTTTAACTTTTCGATTTTTATTTTTATTTTTCGCGATTTTACAATTTTTCGACTTCTCGGTTTTTCAATTCATAGAATTACAAATACTAGAAAGCCACCATAAAAAATTTTGAAGTGACGTCATCAGTTGCCAAGGGGGGATACATTAGTGAATTTTAATCAACATTCTCATTAAATTTTAAAGTTTATGATACGAATTGTCTAAAAAATACTAATTAAAGGTGAGCGGCAAAAGATGTCGGGAAGACGAAAGATACATCCAATTAATAATGGACGCCAATGCCCAGTCCCACAAAATGTTCATCATGGATGCCCGGCCTAGCGCTAACGCAATAGCAAATAAAGCAAAAGGAGGCGGGTAATTTTCAAATTTTGTATATTTCTTCAATCTAATTATTATAATTTTTTTTAACTGAAATCCAGATATGAATCCGAAGACGCCTATCAAAACGCAGAACTCGTGTTCTTGGACATCCACAACATCCACGTAATGCGGGAGTCTCTACGAAAACTTAAAGAACTCTGTTACCCAAACATAGAAGAAACCAAGTGGTTATCAGGGGTGGAGTCCACGTATTGGTTAAAACATATCAAATGCATATTAGCTGGAGCAGTCAGAATCGTAGATAAGGTAAATTTTAACTCATTTTAGAACACTAGTAAAACTTGTTCATTTAGGTCGAAAATCACAAAACTTCGGTTTTGGTTCACTGCTCAGACGGGTGGGACCGCACAGCGCAGCTAACTGCCTTACCAATGTTAATGTTGGACCCTTACTACAGAACAATGAAAGGGTTTGAAGTACTAATAGAGAAAGAGTGGCTATCTTTTGGACATAAGTTTCAACAGGTAAATTAAAATGTGAAAACTATTTCAATAATAATTTTTTTCGTCTTAGCGCATCGGCCATGGCGACGATCATCACTCAGACGCCGACAGATCCCCAGTTTTTCTCCAGTTCATAGACTGCGTCTGGCAGATTACACAACAATTTCCAAACGCTTTTGAATTTAACGATTACTTTTTAATTACCATTCTCGACCATCTTTATTCATGTAGGTTTGGGACGTTCTTATGCAACAGTGAGAGGGAAAGAGTGCAAGAAAGTAAGAGTCCTCATGAATTTTAATCAATTTATATGTAACTGAGTGTTTTAGAACTCAAAGAACAGACCATTTCTCTGTGGTCTTACACCAATAGTCAATTAGACCTTTACAAAAATCCGCTGTATTGGGCCAATAATAACCAACAGAGGGTGCTGATTCCAATAGCTAGCATAAGACACATTAAGCTGTGGAAGGCCTATTATTGTAGGTGGAACCCCAGCATGCGCACGCAGGTACCTAAAATAATAATAATAATAATAAAAAAAAAACAATGAGTAGCAACAGTAGTTTGAGTATTGTATTTATTTATTTATTTATTTATTTTCAGGACCCTGTTTACCAGAGGATACGAGAATTACTGATCCTGAAAGAGCAGCTGGAGCACACGGCTGAAGAATGCCGGAAGGAACAGCAGTCTCGAATGGCCAGAACTAACGTGACGCCCGCATAGTGTTTGTGTAACCATATTTTTTGTAAATAGGTAGAATAGAATCATAAGCACATAATTTAATTTTATAATTAACAGTATTACATTGTAATAATTTTCAAATTTTTTGACATATGCGAACTCATACACATGAAATCAGACGTAGGCGTTTTAATAACTTGAACTGAATATAACTTGAACTGAATATAACTTTGTATGTATTTAATAAACACTACGTAAGAGCGGTTTTGTTTTGGTTCCTGAGTGTAAGCACATTTCCGTCCGTCCGTCTGTATGTCTGTCTGTCGTCTATCAATTTTTATTAGACATAATTTCTGAAACTACTATTAGTAATATAGTTTACATTAGTAAATATTTAAATTTTATACAAGAAGATACTCCTGCACTGGTGGTTTATGAATCCGTGTTGAGTTTTTATCCTAGACATACAGATTTTTGGAAAAAAAAATCAAAATTGTATCACGTTTTCCGATTTAATTTTCCAATTGCTGGATGTTTCGATTTCTCGGTTTTTCACATTTTTCGATTATTCAATTTTGTGTTTTTCGATTTTTCAGTTTTATTAATTTTTTTTATTTTTAGATTTCTCTATTTTCCGAAAGTTCAGTTCTATGATTTTTCAATATTTCAATTTTTGGCGTTTTCAATTTTAGACTTTTTGACTTTTAGGTTTTTCGATATTTTGATTTCTCCATTACTTGATTTTTTTTATGTTTCGATTTATCCACTATTCGATTTTCAGATTTTTCAGTTTTTCAATTTTTCGATTTCAGGCTTTTGATTTTTCACTTTTCCGAGATTTTTCGATTTCTCGATTTTTCAAATTTTCGATATCTCAGTTTTTCGATGTTTCAGTTTTGGAGTTTTTCTGTTCTTTGATTCTTCGAATCTTCAATTTTTTTGGTATTTTTATATTATTTTCTTCTCATTTTTTGATTTTACATTTTTGAATTTTTCGGTTTTTGAATTTTCAGTTTTATCAATTTTCCGTTTCTCGATTTATCGAGATGTTTATTGTTCGATTTTTCCGTGTTTTGATTTATTTTTAAATTGCAATGTTTCAGATTTTAATTTTTCGATTTTGGGCTGTTTTGATTTCTCGATGTTTCAATTTCTCAGGATTTTTGGATTTCTCCGTTTTTCACATTTTTCGATTATTCAGTTTTTGGTATTTCGATTTTTCAGTTTTATCAATTTTTCGATTTATCGAGGTTTCTATGTTTCAATTTTTCGAATCTTAAAGTTTTTGATATTTTAATTTTTTTATTTCTGAAATTTTAGATAATTGGATTTCTCGTTTTTTGCTTTTACTTTTTTCAGTTTTTTGGTTTTTAAATTTTTCGATTTTCAATTTTATCAATTTTTCCATTTCTCGATTTATCGAGATTTCTATTCTTCGATTTTTCTATGTTTCGGTTTTCTTTTTTAATTTCAATTTTTCAAATTTTAATTTTTCGGTTTTGGGTTGTTTCGAATTCCCGATGTCTCAACTTTAGATGTTTAGATTTCTCGTTTTTTCACATTTTTCGATTTTTCAATTTTTCGATTTTTCAGTTTTATCAATTTTTCGGTGTTTCGATTTCTTAGTTTTTCGATTTTCCAATTTTTTGATGTTTCGTTGTTTCAGTTTTTCGATTTCTCAATTTTTCTACGTTTCAGTTGTGGGATTTTTCAATTTCTCGATTTTCCAGTTTTTCCATTCTTTATTTCTTCAATTTGTCGATTTTTCAAATGTCAGATTCTTCGATTTCAATTTCTCGTTTTTTTGATTTTTCAGTTTTTAAAATTTTTCATTCTTTCGTTTTTAAATATTACATTTTTCAATTTTTCGATGTTTCCATTTTTCGACTTCTCTGTATTTCAGTATTTAAGACTTTCAAGTTTTCGATTTCTCAACTTTTCAACACTTCAATTTTTTGGGAATTTTTCCATTTCTAGATTTTTCGATATTCTCATTTTAGATTTTGATGATTTCTTGTCTTTGATGTTTCTACTTCTCGGTTTTTCGATTTTTAGATATTTGAATTTTTTTAATTTCGATTTCTCTATTTTAGAATTTTGGGTTTTTCGACTTTCGATTTTCAGATTTTCAGTTCTTCAATTTTTCGATTTTTCAAGTTTCAAAATTTTCAATTTTTCGAGATTTTTCGATTTCGATGTTCCGGTTTTGGGATTTTTCTGTTTTTCGATTTTGCAATTTGTCGATTTTCAATTATTTGACATTGTAATTGTTTGATTTTTTAATTTTTCGATTTTTCAGTTTTTCGATTTCTCGATTTATCTAGAATTTATCTATATCGTTTCGGTTTTTCAAGTTTTCGATTTTTTTTTAATTCAAATTTTTCAGTTTGAAAAATCAATATTTCTATTTTTCGATTTTGGCTGTTTTGATTCCCCGATTTTTTAATTTTTCGACTTTTCGATTTGTCAGTTTTGCGATTTGTCAGTTTTTCTACATTTTAGTTTTAGGATTTTTCAAATTCCTGATATTTCAATTTTTCGATTTCTCAGTTTTTTGACTTTTTAAATTGAATTTAGATTTTTTGATTTCACGATTTCTCGTTTTTTTTTTATTTTTCAGTTTTTCGATTTTTCAATTTTTCTTTTTTTTTAAATGTTACATTTTTCGATTTATCAGTTTTTCGATTTGTCAGTTTTGCGATTTGTCAGTTTTTCTACATTTTAGTTTTAGGACTTTTCAAATTCCTGATATTTCAATTTTTCGATTTCTCAGTTTTTTGACTTTTTAAATTGAATTTAGATTTTTTGATTTCGCGATTTCTCGTTTTTTTTTATTTTTCAGTTTTTCGATTTTTCAATTTTTCTTTTTTTTTAAATGTTACATTTTTCGATTTATCAGTTTTTCGATTTTATGCCTTTTAAAATTTTGTAATATTTCAATTTTTCGATTTTTCTATTTCTCGACTTCTCGGTTTTTCAGTGTTTAAAATGTTTCGATTTGTCGATTTTTTCAGTTTTCTCTGAACTTTCCAACACCAAAATTTTGGGAATTTTTCCATTTTTAATTTTAATTTTGGATTTTTCGTTTAGTCGATTTCTTCATTTCTCGATTTTTTGATGTTTCGATTTCTCGATTTTTCGAAATATCGACTTTCGAATTTTTGTTTTTCCGGTTTCTCGAGTTCTCGATTTTCCGATTTTCAGATTTTCAATTTTTCAATATTTCAGGTTTCTGATTTTTCAGTTTTTCGAAGTTTTCGATTTCTCGATTAGTTTTCGGTGTTCCAGTTTTAGGATTTTTCTGTTTTTCGATTCTTCGATTATTTGACATTGTAATTTTTTGATTTTTCGAGCTTTAGATTTTTCGATTTACTCGTTTTTTGATTTCCAGTTTTTCGTTTTTTAAATTTTACATTTTTCGAGTTTTCAGTTTTATCAATTTTTCGATTTCTCAATTTACAGAGATTTTTCTGTTTCGATTTTTCAAGGTTTCGATTTTTTTTTAATTTTGGGTCGTTTTGATTATCCGATTTTTCAATTTTTCGTCTTTTCGATTTCTTGATCTTTTGATACTTTAATGTCTCGGTTTTTTGATTTTTCTATTTTTCGATTTGCCACTTTTTCTACATTTTTCGACTTTTTAAATTTTAGATTTTTCAATTTCGTGATTTTTCAAATTCTCGTTTTTCCAGTTTTTCGATTTCTCATTTCTTTAATTTTTCGATTCTTAATTTCAGAAGTTTCGATTTCTCGTTTTTTAATTTTTCGATTTTTGCTTTTTTTTTAATGTTACATTTTTTAGTTTTTCGATTTGTTGACTTTTCAATACTTCAATTTTGGGAATTTTCCCATTTTCTGGATTTTTCGATATTTTCATTTTAGTTTTTCATATCTCCTATACTTCAATTCTTGAATTTTTCGAGTTTTCGATTTCTCGAGTTTACGATTTTTCAATTTTCTTATTTTAAATTCTTCAATTTTTACAGATTTTTCGATTTTTCGATTTTCCAGTTTTGGAATTTTTTTATTTATCGATTCTTCAATTTTTTCGATTTTTCAATTTTTCGATATTCGAGTTTTGAGATTATTCAATTTTTCGATTCTTTAATTATTATTTGACATAATTTTTTTATTTTTTAAGTTTTAAATTTTTGGAGCTCTCGTTTTTTGTTTAGTTTTTCGTGTTTTAAAGTTTCCATTTTTACATTTTTACTTTTATCAATTTTTCGATTTTTCGATTTGTGGAGATTTCTGTTTCGATTTTTCAATTTTTCGATCTTTGGGGGTTCTGATTTTTTTTTTATTATTAAAATTTTTCAGTTTGTAGATTTGATTTCTCGATCTTCTGCTGCTTTGATTTCTAGGTTTTTCGATTTCAATTTTTCGATGTTTCATTTTTTCAATTTTCCGATTCTTCAATTTTTTACTTTTTTAAATCTTACATTTTTCAATTTCTCGTGTTTTTGATTTTTCAGTTTTCGATTTTTCAATTTTTCTTTTCTTTTTTGAATTTTTGAATTATTCGATTTTATGGCTTTTAAAATCTTGCAAATTACAATTTTTCCATTTCTCGACTTCTCGGTTTTCACTGTTTAAAATTTTTCGGTTTCTCGATTTTTCAAGTTTTCCAAAACTTCAATTTTGAGAATTTTTCCATTTCTGGTTTTTTAAATTTTTTGATATTTCAATTTTCGATTTTTCGGTTTGTCGAGTTCTCGACGTCTTGATGTTTCAATTTTTTGGTATTTTAATGTTTCGGTTTTTCGACTTTTGTATATTCGAATTTTTTTAATCCCGATTTTTTCTATAATTCGATTCCTGGATTTTTAAATTCTTCGAAATCTCGATTATCGATTTTTAGATTTTCGAATTTTCAGTTTTCCGATTTTTCATTTTCTTTATTTTTCAATTTTTTCGATTTGTCACTTTTTCTACATTTTAGTTTCGGGATTTTTCAATCTCGATGTTTCAGTTTTTCGATTTTAGATCTTTCTACCTCATTTTTCAGTTTCCCAATTTTTCATTTTTCTTTTTAGTTATATTTTTCGCTTTTTCAATTTTTCAATTTGTCACTTTTTCTACATTAGTTTTGGGATTTTTAGATTTTTTAAATTTTAGATTTTTCGATTTATCGTTTTTTAACTTTTCCAGTTTTCCGATTTTTGAATTTTGTAAAATTTCACTTTTCGGTTTCTCGATTTTTCAAGCATTCTCTCAACTTTTCAACCCTTCAATTTTGGGAATTTTTCCATTTCTGGATTTTCCAATTTTTGTTGTCACATGAAATTTTTGGCCCTTTGGATTTTTCAGTTTCTCGATGTTTCAATTTTCCGATTCTTCAATTTTTCGATATTCTAAATTCTATATTTTTCGATTTCTCGTTTTCTCATTTCTGAGTTTTCCGATTTTTCGTCTTTTTTTAGTTATATTTTTCGATTTTTCAATTTGTCACTTTTAGATTTTAGTTTTGGGATTTTTCGATTTCTCAATTTTTCGATGTTTTAAGTTTTAGATTTTTCGATTTATCTTTTTTTTTAATTATCCAGTTTTCCGATTTTTGAATTTTTTAAATGTTATATTTTTCGATTTTTCAGTTTTTCGATGTTATGGCTTTTAAAATTTCCTGGATTTTTAAATTCTTCGAAATCTCGATTATCGATTTTCGAATTTCCAGTTTTCCGATTTCTCGGATTTTTGTTTTTCAAATACAGTTCGATAATCGAATTTTTGATGTGTGAATTTTCAATTCGTTTTCTGTTCGATTTCTCGATTTTTCAATTTTTCCGTTCTTTGCTTTTTAGACCTTTCATTTTTATTTACTTTTCGATTTTTCGATATTCGAATTTTCAGTTTTTCCATTTTTCAGTTTTTCGATTCCCAATTATTTTACATTTCGATTTTTTGATTTTCGATACTAGAATTTCCAACCTTTCTACTCTTACTTTTCCATTTTTCAATCTTTGATTTCTCGAATTATCCATTTTTCAATTTTTACATGAATCAGTTTTTAGACTTTTCAATTTTTGTACTTTTCGATTACTAAAATTTTGAATTCCATCCTTATCGATTTTTCAAATTTTTTTTACTATTCGATTTTTGATTTCTCAAGTTTCGATTTTTTGGCTTTTGGGAAGTGTTTTCTGTTTTTTCGATTGTCCATTTTTCCACTTTTCGATTTTTCTAAGTTGGTATTTACGTGACTGTGTTTACTTTATATAGGTAAAAAACAAAAACCGTAAAATCAGATAATTTAAGATTCGGGATCTATGGGGCTTTATTTCAAGGGCGAGCGAAGTTCTGTCGCAATAGTCCACCAACTTTACAAAAAAACGGCCACAAGGAAGTCTATTTTTGGTCGATGATTAACGATGACTGGAAAATTCGAACTGCACGCGCCATTTCGCCCGTCTGTCAAAACCCAGTACAGTTCACGTCCCACAGATGTCGCCACTCCAATGAATATACGTGACGTCATGTATTGATTAAAACTGCCGTAGTCGGCGTACGCCATTTTGACTTAAGTGAAAAAGTTTACGTAAAGTGGCAAAAACAAGCTAAAATCTGTGATCATCCGTCCCTATTTTCGTTAAATCGGATCTATTTCTTGTTGGTTACTCTTTACCCATCTGGACGGACCAAGGTACGCTAGTATTTAGCCGTTTAAAATTTATACGTACTAGATTTCATAATCCAATGTTTTTATTTCGATCGGCGACTGAACGAATTTTGTACCGTTACGTAGCCGCAGATCCCGCATATCTGCCCCCCATTTCGAGCCCTCGCGCTCAATTCGGCCCTCCACTCGCTTCCGGACGCCCGTGTTGGATTTTGGCAGGTCGCTGGGGTTGGGCAGTCGTGCTTACGTTGTGTTCTTTTGTGTTATATTTGTGAGTGATTCCGCGTAAAAGTGGTCCGTTTTTCCGTTCGAAATAGGGGCATTTCGGAGATATTGTTGTGCTTTACCTTGACGTTTTGAGACCTTCGCGATCGTTGTGTTGCACACCAAATATTAACGAGCAAATCACCACCATAATTAATAAATTAATTGGCGAGGAGCGAATACCAATCGCCAGACATCCGCCACACCGTTGTTATCATTCCAAACACACGTAGTAAAAGTCCAATTATAGTCGCTCATTCATGTTCTAATCGGGTTATCTCTTCAAGGAAAAAGGTTCGTTCGCTGGGTCCTGAAGATCTAAATGGTTGCGTGCAGACAGCATGTCTACTTTGCCAGGTCTGGCCTCCAAGGGGGAGAAATCAAAACCAAAGTTCCAATCGTTAGACATAAATAGTTTGTACAGAGTGAGCAGGGTGAGTCGTGAGTTTGTTCGAGTGCTCCGACTTAAAACGCACTTTCAGGGTGAAAATTTAGAGAAGCAGCAACAGAAGAGCACGTTCACATACAAACATGGCATGCAAAGTTTGGGAAAGGTGCCCAATGCACGAAGGGCGCCAGCGAATTTACCGTCTTTGAAATCGGAACACAGCGGAACTGACGCATCTGTACCTTTAGTACCACCAGGCGGACCAGGATGGGGAAAACAAGAATCAACAACTTCAACTTCGACCACTTCCTCGACGGTGAGTTTTTCCCTTTGTTTTGTTGCGAAATGAGTTTGTTTTCGTATCAGTTATCGTTGTGTAAATTCGTCTGTGTAAAGTTTGATCGCGATAAGAGTGTGGGAATGCATTGTAGTTGAAATTGGGAGAAAATTGAACCCTTCACTGCTTTATTTTCGTGTTTCGTGCACGAGACTTTTCCAATATCTGGAGTGAAAGAGTGTGGCTATTGACCATGAAACAGACTGTATAATTTTTTTGTGCCATTATGCCAGCTCATGCGTATATTATTTTTTTAAACTTTCTCATTACAGTATCGCGGATAGAGAAATTACTAGTGGTATCATAAATGTATATAATTTAGTTAGAAATCCACTTGATAATTTTGACGAAAATTACCAAGAAGTAGACTTTGAATGAGTCATGTGTTTGTTGTGCACGTTAAATTGTAATTAGTGTCCTGAAAAAAATACTCGTGGTTAAAAATTAAGTAAAATTGTTCACCTTTTGTTGCAAGTTTAATTAAATTTTAGTTTTTAATAGTAATGAAAGATTTAATAGGTAGTTAAATTGCGGCAATTAAAAATTAGAAATTTCGACAGGAAACGGTGGATTGCGTTGCATAAATTTATGAGGATTGAGGGTTATGTCCTTAAATTTTAGCCGTGTGACTTCTCCTTTCTGAGAGTCAGTGTTACACCACTAGGGGCTGAAGTTGGAACTAAGATGGGGCTAGTGTTTTTTTTTTTTGTTCTAAGCCACTGAAAACATTGTATTTTGTTTTTTCCTTTTTTTTTGTGTGTTAAACATCGTAGAATAGTTTGAAAATCCTCACACTGACAAAATAACGTGTTTTAAAGGCCCTATGTCATATTAAATATTTGTTAATAGTAGAATTTATTTAAATAATAATGTCTTTATTAAAATTAAAGTGTCCATGATTTTTCTGTGAATTTTCAGGCAAGCTCAATTTTTCAATGTCACATGAAATTTTTGGCCCTTGGGATTTTTCACTTTTTCGATTTCTCAATTTTTCGATATTTTAAATTTTAGATTTTTCGATTTACCGTTTTTTTTAAATTTTTCAGTTTTCCATTTTTGAATTTTTTGAAATGTTATATTTTTTTTCGGTTTGTTGATTTATCGAATTCTTGATGTTTCAATTTTTCTATATTTCGATTCCTGGATTTTTAGATGTTTCGAAATCTCGATTTTCGATTTTCCGATATCTCGGATTTTTGTTTTATTAAATATTTGATTAATCGAATTTTTGATACTGGAATTTTGAATTTGTTTCCTGTTCGATTTCTCGTTTTCTCATTTTTCAGTTTTCCGATTTTTAATTTTTTTTTCAATTTTTTCGGTTTGTCACTTTTTCTACTTTTTAATTTTGGGATTTTCCAATCTGGATGTTTTAGTTTTTTGATTTTTTACATTTTAGATTTTTATTTCCCATTTTTTAGTTTTTCAATTTTCCATTTTTCTTTTTATATTTTTCGATTTTTTAATTTTTCAATTTGTCAGTTTTTCTACATTTTAGTTTTGGGATTTTTAAATTTCTCGATGTTTCAATTTTTCGATATTTTAGATTTTTAGATTTATCGTTTTTTTAGTTTTCCAGTTTTCTGATTTTTGAGTTTTTTAAAATGTTATATTTTTCGATTTTTCAGTTTTTCGATTTTATGGCTGTTAAAATTTTGTAAAATTTCAATTTTTCGGTTTTCCCATTTTCCGACTTCTCGGTTTTTCAATGTTAAAATTTTTTGGTTTGTCGATTTTTCAAGTTTTCTCTCAATTTTTCAACACTTCAATTTTGGGAATTTTTCCGTTTCCGGATTTTCCAATTTTTTTATTCTTTTAATTTTCGATTTTTGAGTTTTTCGATTTTATGGCTTTTAAAATTTTGTAAAATTTTAATTTTTCGGATTTTCCATTTCTCGACTTTCTCGGTTTTTCAATGTTTATAATTTTTCGATTTCTCGATTTTTCAAGTTTTTTCTGAACTTTTCAGCGCTTCAGTTTCGGGAATTTTTTCACTTTTAATTTTAATTTTAGGTTTTTCGTTTTTCTTCATTGCTGGATCTTTTGATGTATCGATTTCTCGGTTTTTCGATTTTTAGATTTTTCGAATTTTCTAGTTTTTCAATTTTTCTACTTGTCACTTTTTCTACACTTTTGGATTGGGATTTTTCAATTTATCGATGTTGCAATTTTTCGGTTCTTCAATTTTTCGATTTCTCGTTTTCTGATTTTTCAGTTTTACGATTTTTCATTTTTTTTAAATTTTTTCGATTTGTCACTTTTTCTACATTTTAGTTTTGGGATTTTTCAATCTCGATTCTTCAATTTTTCGATTTTTTAGATTTTAGATTTTTCGATTCTCGTGTTTTTTAGTTTTCCTATTTTTCATTTTTCTCTTTGGTTATTTTTTTCGGTTTTTCAATTTTTCAATTTGTCACTTTTTCTCCATTTTAGGATTGGGATTTTTCAATTTCTCAATATTTTAATTTTCTGATTTTAAATTCTATATTTTTCGTTTTCGAGTTTTCTCATTTTTCAGTTTTCCGATTTTTCATTTTTTTTTAGTTTTATTTTTCAATTTTTCAATTTGTCACTTTTTCTACATTTTAGTTTTGGGATTTTTCAACCTCGATTCTTCAATTTTTCGATTTTTTAAATTTTAGGTTTTTTGAATTCTCGTTTTTTTAGTTTTCCAATTTTTCATTTTTCTTTTTAGTTATATTTTCGGTTTTTCAATTTTTCAATTTGTCACTTTTTCTACATTTTAGGATTTTTCAATTTCTCGATGTTTAAATTTTTTGATTGTTCAACTTTTCGATTTTTTAAATTCTATATATTTCGATTTCTCGTTTTCTCAATTTTCAGTTTTCCAATTTTTCATTTTTTTTAATTTTTAAATTTTTTCGATTTGTCACTTTTTCTACATTTTAGTTTTGGGATTTTTCAATCTTGATGCTTCAATTTTCCGATTTTTTAAATTTTATATTTTTATTTCTCATTTTTCAGTTTTCCAATTTTTCGTTTTTCTTTTTTGTTATATTTTTCGGTTTTTCAATTTTTCAATTTTTCACTTTTTCTACATTTTAGGATTGGGATTTTTCAGTTTCTCAATGTTTCAATTTTCTGATTTTAATTTTTTTTAGTTTTATTTTTCGATTTTTCAATTTTTCAATTTCTCACATTTTCTACATTTTAGTTTTGGGATTTTTCAATTTTTCGATGTTTCAATTTCTCGTCTTCTCATTTTTCAGTTTTCCGATTTTTCATTTTTTCGATTTGTCACTTTCTGCATTTTAGTTTTGAGATTTTTCAATCTCGATTCTTCAATTTTTCGATTTTTAAAATTTTAGATTTTTCTATTTCTCGTTTTTTTTAGTTTTCCAATTTTTCACTTTTCTTTTTAGTTATATTTTTCGGTTTTTCAATTTTTCAATTTGTCACTTTTTCTATACATTTCAGTTTTGGGATTTTTCAATTTCTCGATGTTTCAATTTTTCGATATTTTAAATTTTATATTTTTCAATTTCTCGTTTTCTCATTTTCTCATTTTTCAGTTTTCCGATTTTTTAATTTTTTTAATTTTCTCGATTTGTCACTTTCTAAATTTTAGTTTAGGATTTTTCAATCTCGATGTTTCAATTTTTCGATTTTATAAATTTTAGATTTTGTTTCTCAATTTCCCAATTTTTTCTTTTTCTTTTTAGTTATATTTTTCAATTTGTCACTTTTTCAACATTTTTTGTGATTTTTCGATTTCTCAATTTTTCGATATTTTAAATTTTAGATTTTTCGATTTATCGTTTTTTTAGTTTTCCAGTTTTCCGATTTTTAAATTTTTTTAAATGTTATATTTTTCGATTTTATGGCTTTTAAAATTTTGTAAAATTTCAATTTTTCGCTTTTTCCATTTTTCGTCTTTCTCGGTTTTTCAATGTTGAAAATTTTTCAGCTTCTCGATTTTTCAAGTTTTCAACTTTTCAGCACTTCAATTTTGGGAATTTTTCCATTTCTGGATTTTCCAATTTTTGTTGTCACATGAAATTTTTGGGCCTTTGGATTTTTCAGTTTCTCGATGATTGAATTTTCCGATTCAATTTTTCGATATTTTAAATTCTACATTTTTCGCTTTCTCATTTTTCAGTTTTCCGATTTTTCATTTTTCTTTTTAGTTATATTTTTCGATTTTTCAATTTTGCGATTTGTCACTTTTTCTACATTTTAGTTTTGGGATTTTTCGATTTCTCAATTTTTCGATCTTTTAAATTTAAATTTTTCGATTTATCGTTTTTTTAGTTTTCAAGTTTTCCCATTTTTGAATTTTTTAATATGTCATATTTTTCGATTTTTCAATTTTTCGATTTTATGGCTTTTAAAATTTTGTAAAATTTAAATTTTTCGGTTTCTCGATTTTTCAAGTTTTCTCCAAACTTTTCAGCACTTTAATTTTGGGAATTTTTCCATTTCTGGATTTTCCAATTTTTGTTGTAACATGAAATTTTTGGCCCTTTGGATTTTTCAGTTTCTTGATGTTTCCATTTTCCGATTCTTCAATTTTTTGATATTTTAAATTTTATGTTTTAATGTGTTAGTTTTGGGATTTTTCAATCTCGATGTTGCAGTTTTTCGATTTTTTCAATTTTTGATTTTTATTTCTCATTTTTCAGTTTTCCAATTTTTCATTTTTCTTTTTACTTATATTTTTCGATTTTTCAATTTTGCGATTTGTCACTTTTTCTACATTTTAGTTTCGGGATTTTTCGATTTCTCAATTTTTCGATATTTTAAATTAAAATTTTTCGATTTATCGTTTTTTTTTTAGTTTTCCAGTTTTCCCATTTTTGAATTTTTTAATGTCATATTTTTCGATTTTTCAATTTTTCGATTTTATGGCTTTTAAAATTTTGTAAAATTTCAATTTTTCGGTTTCTCGATTTTTCAAGTTTCCTCCAAACTTTTCAGCACTTTAATTTTGGAATTTTTCCATTTCTGGATTTTCCAAT